AAGTATATTATAAAATAGCACAAATTATAATAAAATATTGTATATTAAATATGCAATTTTAAATTATAAAAAGAGGTATTTAGAGATGCATTCTTAATGCCACATTTTGTTAAAAAAAAAAATTTTAAAACATTTATTTTAATAAATCTTGCTGATAAATACACAAAAACTGAAAAAAATCAATTAAAAAAAAAAAACATTTGCCAATTATAACAAATACAACTCAGCATTTTATATATAAAAATAGTAACACCAAATCGGTGTTATTATTGTTTGGCACTATACCAGGGTGCTTAACATATATATTTCAGGCGCCAAAATGAATAATTTATCCACTCACATTTACATGAAGTTAGTGGAAAAGTAGCATGTAAACTTTAAAATGTTTTTACAACCAGGAAAATTTATCACTTTTAACAACTCAGTAATATTAGTATTGAAACTACCTTTTTAAATTTAACTAAAATGCTTCACATAAATAAAGCTCACAAGATTAAAGCATGGAAATTCAGTAGATCTGTTTCATAAAATTCACTAAAAGATATAATTGAACTTCTGAAATCATTTTTGTAGGAACTAGCACTATGTTCTTGAAAACTATCCAAAAAAAAGTAAACCTTTTCCACCCAACATGTTCAATATGGAACGGTACTTTCAATATGCTCCTCTAAAATTTGTTGCCTGATATGTACAAGTTTAAAAAGTATGATACCTCATTTAAGTGTGCCAAAAAAGATACTTGTCATATTGCAAAACATGACATTATGCCTAAAAGATACTTGACATATTGCACTTTGTTTGAGGCACAAATAACTAAATTAAAAGTCTATGACTGTTACAATGAGCATATGCAACTTTTTCATTTAGATTTAAAATACAAGAGGACAAATCTTTAGTGTGACTAGTGCGGAATAAAATATTCCTTGTAACACCATTTGTGCAATCTAAGAAACTGATAAATTCTCTTATTGAACTTTGAACCAACAAACCATATAATTAAAAGTAGTTGTTCTCTAGTTTATTTTTCAGAAGCTTCATCAGAAAAATGTTTAAAATTTTTGAACTATTTTGTTATTAACTTCTCTGAAACACTTTTTTTACCAGATGTCTTATGGTGTCTTAGATATGTAAGAAGCATTTTTTGTTGATAATATCTTAGTTATCTTGACGAATTTTATCACCAGCATATACACGGATATGTTGCAAACACGATTTATTAAGAAATATATACTTCGTATATTTACAGAGTCGAGACATCTTCTATATAATATTGCCGAACTTAATAGTTTTAATAGTAGTAGTAGTGTCCCTTGGAGCGTATTTGACACGAAACCCTTGGCAGCCATTGTAACCGAGGTATTGGCAAGAAAGAGTCACAGCACTATAAGAAAACGTGAACGAATATCTAACGTACGTAAACTTTAAACTAATGTTAAAGCATATGTTAAAACATACTGAAACATTTATCACGTTTTACAGTTTGATTTTTACTTGAAAATTACATTGCGTCAACCTCTCCTTAATTTTGATCTAACATTTTTTTCCTCAAAAAAATTACTACATTATTATAAAATCTAAACCTGATGATATGCCGGTGTAGCTCGAGTGGATAAGGCGGCGAACCTCTGAACAAGTAACTAGAGGTTCGACTCCTACCAAAGGTGGCTATTTTTTTTAATTTTTTTAATTATTTTAAAATACAAAATACTTTCGAAGTTTTATAAAGATTATATACAAACATATGTAACGTAACGATATTATGCACTCACAAAAGAAAAGATTTTAAGAATGTTAAAACTTTATAAAACATTAAAAAAAAAAAAAAAAAAACATCACCAGGAGAAAAAATATGTTGCGTATCTATGATAATTGAGACACTTATGTTATTAATGTGCGAATGTAATTAGTCCTAATAAGCTGCGAATGGTCTGAAAAAAAAGTTGTCTGAAACTTAATAAAAAAAAAACTTAACAAGACAGCCCTGCTACTTCATAAGATGCTGCTGTGGAGGCAAAAAAAAAAAAGCCTGTAGCTAGATAAAACTTTAAAACTTTCTTTTGACAATTAAAAGTTTATTTTGCTACATTAACTTTTTTACTATAAATATATGCAACCCTAACCCTAACTGTTTTTCAAAACGCCTTAATATGCTTATGACGTAATTCAAAAAAAACCCAATTAAAAATAAAATTGTTTGGAAAAACTTTTTGTAAAACGTTTTTTGAAACGAATAACTTTTATTTAGTTTTTTTTTTTCTTTTGTGCAACTTTCTTTTCAATAAATTTCTTTACTTTTCAGAATATGACCATTTTTAACAATGCTATAGAAAAAATATCAGTAAATTGATTAGTAGTATTTCAATTATATTAATTAGATTAAATTATATATATTAAATTATATATTATATATATATTAAATTAAATAAATAAATAAATTGAAATTTGGGTACATGGGGAAATTGGGAAAATACATGGGAAAATTGGGGAAATACATGGGTATTTTTTTTTTTTTTTTATACTTAGTGACAAAATAGACTAATTAGATAAGTCGTTAAGTAGAATGCTAAGAATATATTTATGTCGATTATTGTTGTTAAGGGTGATTAATAGGCAAATAAATTAAAAGCTAATCAGGGTTTTGAATAAACTATAAACTAATCAGGGAAATTTTATTTGTAAACCTAATAAATAGGAAGATAACATATAATTCAGGTAGACATTGTTTTCACTTTTTCGACAAACTTTGATATCTTTGATATTAAAAAATATGACCTTTCCAATAATTATAGATGGTAGTGCATTAACCTTTTTTTTCGGAACCCTAATCCGTTATGATTTGTATTTTATCAATGTGAACGAAAGTCTATTCAAATATCTAAATATGTAAACTTTAAGTTCTTTAATTATCAATCAGTATTATTATAAAGTAGATGACATCAAATACTACCGATTTATTTTTACTTAATAATTTCATTGCGACAATATCTCTTTATTTTAAAGCATTAAATGTTGTTTTTTAAAGTTTAATAAGTTTTCTGTTTATTAAATAGTGTAAAAAGATGATATAGCATTCTACAGCGATTGAAGTGCTTCGCTTCGGTTCAAAACCTTTTGCTTACACAATTTTTTTTTTAAATCCTATCCGGTTTTTTAGAAGACAAAGAAAAACAAGTTTAAATGCAAATAGATGTTATACGCATTACATAAAAATATAGATATAATATACTATAAGAAACCAAACGGAGAGAATTTTTTAAAACGTTTTTTAAAATTTTTAAAAACATAAAAACGCTGTTGGAAATTTGTTGCGCATATATCATGATAGAGATACTTATGTTTTAGGTAATTAGTTAAAACTGCGAGTTCAACACACATTAAAGAGATAAATTTCTTTCTTATATATAAAAAAAAAAGGTTTTACATGCAATCTGAAATTTTTATTAAAACTAACTGGTCAAGAGTCCTAAAAAGTACGGAAAGATATGAAAAAAGAAATTGTAATCTGAAACCTAAAAAAAAAAATTTAGTTACTCCAGAAGGTGACAAACAGAAAACCTTCAAAATTGCGCCTAATCCGCTAATAGAAATGCTCGAATATTAAGATATAAACAAATATTAAATGATTTTTGTATTACGAAACGTACGCCAACTCTTAAACCACTGTAAAACTACTTTGCGGTTATCTAATTAAATCCACCAAATCCGTTAATAAAAACAGCTTAATTAATAGATTCAAAACCATTTGATTTTTGTATTACGATATGTGCGCCAACTGTACTCTAAAACCAATAAAACTCGGCCATGTGGTCTTCATATCGATTATAACAATTGCAAAGCGAGGGACGACAAGTAAGTTGTAACTACAAGTTTAATTATTGTAATCTTCATTTAAAAAATTAAACTTATTTTATAATTACCATGTTAATATGTTTGAAGTTAATATGTTTTTGACCCAAGAATAAACATTAAGATTATTTTTTAGAAATGAGCAGCCAAGATACAGAAGGTATTCTTTTAGTTTTGTATAACATTAATTAATTAAAGAGATAAAAAGAGATGGTACGTCAATAATACTGAGATATTTAGCTTATTATTTTATTAAGAAATTACATTGAGATAATTTTGTATATCTTTAGGCGACGAAGAAGTTTCTGCATTTTTTCGAAGTAAGCCATTTATATATACTATATATAGTAGCAGTTACATATGTTCTAAAAGTGGCGGAACTGTACTTGATTTACGGCGTGAATAAAACGATGATTTAATTTAGCCGTTTTTAATTAAAATCAACCAAGATATGCCGCCCTCCCCTAACCCCGTGAATCAAGTACACCCCCCTAAAATTTAACTAAAATTAAAAAATATAAATTAATTTTTGGAACTTTAAAAGGGTAGACCCATAACTCAGTTTTTGTTTATTCCTCTATTTTGATTGATGTTTTTGTAAAGCAGTAAACCTTAAAAACGCGTATAAACTTTATTTAAGGTGTTTAAGCTATAATTTTATAAAACGTGTTTAAGCTAAAATTGACTTTTAAGTCTTCTAACTACTAAACTTTTACGTAAAATGAAACTTTTTGTCATTTACTGAATGTGTTAAATTATAAAACTGTGCAACAGTTTTATAATTTAAGACAAATCTTATATGTTTAATTGAAAAAGTTAATATTTGGAAAATTAATTTTGTCTATATATATATTAGATGTTCAAGAGATCAGAGCCGAAGAGCTCTTGCCAAGTAAGCTAATTTTGTATGAGAAGGATATGTTACAAAGATATATATTTCACCAATTTCAGCAATTTTTTAATTATAACTTTTTTTTAATGTTTAGCGGAAGTAATGGACAAGCTAAGTGAGGAATTTTGTTGTTGTTTTTTGTTGTTTTTTTTGTGTGCAAATACATTTATGCTTTTTTAGTTTTTTTAAAGTTATTTAGGAACTGACTTTTGTCAGTTGTGACAGTTTGTCAGTCAGCAAGTGACTTTTGTAACTTTTAAACTTATTTTATTTAGAAAAATTAGAAGATTCTGTTGAGAATCTAAGTAAGCAATTTGTTATTGTTGTTGTAATGCTCTTTATTTTTTTTATTACATATTTATTTAACATAAAGTTATTCTATATTTGGCAAGTTAGTTTATTTTAATGTTTAAGTTTTTCATTTTATTTAGAAAAATTAGAACATTCAATTCTCCTTGCATGAAAGATGGAGTTTGCACAAAAAAATTTCCTAAAGAGTTTAATCCTTGCACTGTTGCAATTTTTAATGGTTATCCTAACTACAGGCGTTTAGATAATGGTAGAGTAGTCATTATAAAAGGTAACCAAGTTGATAATTGATGGGTCGTACCCTATAACCCCTGGTTATCAAAAAAATACCAAGCCTACATTAATGTTGAAGCTTGCATGTCTATTAAGTCAGTGAAGTATTTATACAAATATGTCTATAAGGGGCATGATTGTGCGAATGTGGTAGTTAATGAAAGTGTTGACCATGATGAAATTAACACATATTTAGATTGTCGCTTTGTTTCCGCCCCAGAGGCTCTTTGGCGAATATATGAGTATTCCATAAGTGATATGTCACATACTATTATCCGCCTTCAAATCCACCTTCCTGATAATCAGAGAGTATATTTTAACGAAGGAGAAGAACAAGTAGCTATAGATCGTGCAGCACAGCGTGACACTCACCTAACTGCTTGGTTTAAGTTAAATGCTGAAAATAATGAAGCACGTCAGTATTCTTATGTTGAAATTCCATATCACTTTGTTTTTGGTAAAAATTGCATGTGGAAAGTAAGACAAAGAGGTAGTGATAAGGTGGTTGTTCGAATGTATAAAGTCAGTTCATTTTGCGAATTATTTTTTCTCAGATTGTTACTTTTGCATGTAAAAGGTGCAAAGTCTTTTGATGATTTGCGTACTGTTCATGGTACTGTTTTTAATACATTTCGTGAAGCATGTTATCATTTAGGTTTATTGCAAGATGACATTGAGTGGAGAAATACATTAACTGAAGCTGCTGCAACTCGGATGCCTAAACAAATTAGGCTACTGTTTTCCATCATATTAACTTTATGTGAACCTGATGATCCTTTACACCTTTGGAATACATTTAAAAATTATATGGTTGAAGATTACATACACCATTCAATGCCAGTCGTACTTGCTGAGCAGGCAGCTCTTCGTCAAATTGAATCTATAATTAATCAGAGTGGTAAAACCTTAGCTGATTATAATTTGCCAGCTTTAGATCAGTTTTTAGATAATGTCCCAGAAAATGATGATGAAGATGTTCAGGTGTTTATTGATGAAGCAAACCGAGTTAGACCATTATTGAATGATAATCAACGTAATGTAGCTGATGCGATCCTTGCTGCACTAAGTGTGGAACCTACTAATGAAAATAAGCATTCAAGGTTGTTTTTTATGGATGGGCCTGCCGGTTGTGGTAAAACATTTACTTACAACTATTTAATTTCTGAAACACAGAGCAGGCATATTAGAACTGCAACAGCTGCATGGACAGGAATAGCTGCAACTCTTCTCAAAAATGGGTGCACAATGCATGGCTTATTCAAACTTCCTGTTCCAATTTTGGAAACAAGCACATGTAATGTAACTCCAAACTCTATTCATGGTAGATTCCTGAGACAAATCAGTTTGTATTTACTTGATGAAGCATCTATGATACCCAAATATGTTTTGAGTGCCATTGATAAGCTATTACAAGATATTTGTAATAACAACTTTCCTTTTGGTGGTAAGGTTATTCTTATGGGTGGAGACTTCAGACAAATACTTCCAGTTGTGAAGCGAGGTCGACCAGCAGAAGTTATAGAATCATGTTTAAAATGTTCTGAACATTGGCAATATGTGCAAAGGTTCTCATTAACTGTAAATATGAGGGTTCAGATAGAAGAAGAGGAATTTTCTCAATGGCTTTTAAAGCTTGGAAGTGGAACATTACCTGTCAAGCCTGAAGATCCTTTGCGAGGGTGTATTGAAATACCTGAGCAGTGCTTTTTCATTGATAATGAATCTATTGTGGAGAAGATTTTCGGTGGTGCAGAAGAAGCTGATTATGCAAAACGTGCTATTTTAACGCCAACAAATGTTGATTCATTGGCAATAAATGAAGAAGTCCTTCATCGTTTACCCGGTGATGTGAAAACATATTTAAGTTCAGATAGCATTGATACTGATGATCTTAATGAAATTAATAACTTTCCAGTCGAGTTTTTAAATAGTTTGACTCCATCAGGTATGCCTGTTCATTGCCTAAAATTAAAAATTGGTGCTGTTATAATGCTACTTAGAAATTTAGATCTCAAAGGTGGACTTTGTAATGGAACCCGTTTGATGGTGCGTGCATTACACAAAAATTATATTGATGGTGAGGTTTTAACAGGTGTATCAGCTGGTAACAGGGTATTTGTTCCTCGAGTTCAATTAGCTCCATCAGATGCAAATTTACCTTTTACACTTAAACGCCGTCAGTTTCCAGTTTGGTTAGCATACTCAATGACCATAAATAAAAGTCAAGGTCAAACAATTGAAAAAGTTGGTGTTATCTTAAAAAGCCTTGCTTTTCACACGGCCAATTATATGTTGCATGTTTAAGAACAAGATCATTTAATAGTTTGTTTTTCAAAGTTGATAAACATCCATTACAAGGTATGTCATTTAACAAACATTACACAAATAATGTTGTCTTTACAAATGTTCTTAATTTATAATTTTGACAAGTATATTATTTGTTATATGTGTTTTATATTTTTTTATGTTTTTTTTTTTTTTTGCTATATGTGTATATAAATGTATGTGTTTATATGCGTTTATATATCTTTATTTATACTTATGTGCTTAAGTTTATACAAGTTTATATAAAGTTGTTTCCATGTGAAAAGTGGTGTTACTTTGCAACGTGTAGTGCAAGATTGTGATTCTTGCTAGCCAAGCGGTGTTACTAATTAGTGGTGTTACTTGGCACTTAATGCCAAGCGGTGTTACTAAATTGTGGTGTTACTTGGCAGCGTTTAGTGCCAAGCGGTGTTACAAGTGTTGAGCTAGGTTGTGTTGTCTAGCTTTTTTAATTATTCTGGAAACACATAATCTGAATATTTTGTGTTATGTGCAAATGTGTTATGTACAAATATTTGATGCTATGTGTATTCAGTAGCATAGGCAGGGTCTTTTGATGCTTCAGATAGCACTTTCAACCAAACTTAAGTGTATTCACGTTTATAGAATTAAAATACTTTGCAAAAAATTGATGTTGTTAAAGCTTAGGAACAAATGTTTAAAAAAAGTGTTTTTCCTAACCTGAATTTTTTTAGACATAACAAAGTTAAACTCTTCAACAGCTTCTAAATATATATCTGAAACAACAAAAATCCTGCCTACACTACTGGTGTTATTGTTTGTCATCTTGTAATGTTGTTGTGATGTTCTGTGTTGATAGACAGCTTGGCTTACCTTCACGTTGGTGTCTATCGTTAAAAATGATTATTGGGTAGCTTCATTACTGAAACTTACTCCTAATCATTCACTAAAAGCCAAGTAATATTTTAAGAAAAAATGCCTAATTTTTTTGTGTCAGCAAGAATTTTTATCTTTAGCAATGCTGATAAAACTGAATTTTTTTAAAAAAAGAGTATTTCCAGCCTTCCAACCAAATATTAGAGACTTTTACAAAAGCACTCTCACAAAGTAAGTGTCTAATATTTATTTAATATTACTAAATTTCGTTTCGTATTTTTCATTTTTCAAATGAATTAACATAAAACAAATAAATGTGCATTCAGTGTTATCAATAATGATTTTATTTCATTTTTAGATAATGCTTTTATAATCAATTTAAAAGTCTTTCAAATCGTTAATCATTTTTCTAAAGGCGAAGAAGAAGAATCGTTAATCTTCATACCATTTAATAAAGCTATTTTAACAAAAACGCAATACAAATTGTTGTAAATTATTATTTAAATAATTTTCACATTGTTACTTTATTTTGCAGTTTCCTATCACTTTGTATTGAATTAACTAAATCCAATACTACAGTTCCTTTTATCAAGTACTTCACATTTTCTGTTTTTGTTTTTGCAGAAAAACAGATCAAGTTAATTTATTTGACTTGCCTAGCTACTTATTTTACACGCCTAGCCACAGTGAGTGTGCATAAATCAACAGAGTATTTGGGTTTGGGCAGGTTGTCTTGAACTAAATGATTTACCTTCTTCATGTTAAGCTCTAAATATAAATATACGGAAAAGGTGCATATGTGAACTTTTTTTTTCTAGCACATAATCTATTGTTCACTAAAAAATATTAGAGGGAGAAATAGAGATAAGGTTTATGTGGAATAGAGTTTGTCCTTTTAAGTGAAAAACTATTTTATAATCTATCTATCTTCTATATAATAATGCCGAACTTAATAGTAGTGTTAGTAGAAAGAGTCACAGCACTTTTTTTAGAAGAAAACGTGTATGCAAATATCTAACGTACATAATTAAGTAATGATAAAACATACTGAAACATTTTTCAAGTTTTATAGTTTGACTTTGACTTAAAAATTGCATTGCGTCAACCTCTCCATTTAAAACCAATTCCGTTAAAAACAATTTTTATATATTTTTAAAATTTCGATATTTGATGTGTCAGCATGGCCGAGTGGTTAGCGCGCTAAGCTTCTGAACGTAATAGTCGTGGTTCAAATTTACCACCAGCGATTTTTTTCTTTAAATTACAAAATATTTGTGAAGTTAAACAAGTTAAATGTTATACACTTTGACCGTTTTTTCTTTTTAAATTTTATAAATTTTTTGGATTTCTAAAAACACCAATAAACGGGGCGAAAATTTGTTGCGTGTGTGTCACGATTTTGATACTGTTCTCACATAATTGGTCCTAATAAGCTACGGGTAGTCTTAAAAAAAAAGGTCCTAAAACCTAATAAAGAAAAATTTGATAAAACCATCCTGCTACTCCACATGGTATTGCAGTGGAGGCAGGGAAAAAAAAAAGCAATTAAAAGGTTTTTTGTTATATTTAATTTTTTGCTATAAATATAGCCAGATTAAAAAAATTAAAAAAAATGTATTGAGACTTTTTAGGCGCGGATTTGAAGCCTTGCACAGCGAATCTGATGACAGCGCACTTAACTTGTGAGCTATCAAAGTTATGCATGTAGTTATGCGCTTCAACATTTTTTTAAAAATGTAAAATGAAAACAAAATAAATACCATAAGTAAGAGCTAAATAAAAACGTTTAAAAATTACCAAACTTTTTGTTATATTAATATTAGTTTTTCAACTTTTAAACCACAAAATTTATAATTTATTTTTTTGCATGACTTTTGACGCTTTAAGCGACTATCGTTTTAAAGAATTGCATTACCGTTTCCGTCTAATACAAAGGTAACTATAAAAGACCGTTATTATTCAAAACTAAGCATATAATAATAATAATAAATATAGTAAATAGTAACTATTGAAAATGGCTAGGACGCGACCATAAACCATGGTCCATGGCTGGTCTAAATGTAGGAAGTAGTTTAGTTCAGAATTTTGAAAAAAAATTAATAAACGGGGTTTAATAGGCTATATACGTATGCGGAAAAAGTGCGTATGTTAAAGTTTTTTTTTGCTCTCAAAGCAAATTTTTTTGATGAATCTTTTTCCACCGTTTACTAAAAAATATTGAAGTAAATAAGGAACAAGTAAAAAAATGATTGGCGTGGAATAAATAAATATAGAAGTAGAAGAAAAGACATGTATTTACCGATACGGACAGCTAGATTAAGAAAATAAGGGAAAAGGTTTGTGTGGAATAGAATTACAAAGACCCGTATTTTTACGGGTCAATCCAGCTAGTAATAAATAATAGGCTTATTTGTCAACACGTGAACTATTTTACCTATTTAGCAAATCGTGCACCTTCTTATATTTATGCGTATTGAAATAAAATTAAAAAAATTAAAAACTTTTTGTCTACATTCTTTATTTTTATTTTTTGCATTTTGCATTTTTATTTTTATTCTGCCAAAACTCATAAGATTATTTATTAAGTATGAACTTTTTTTAAATTGAAGTATTTAAAAATATTATTAACGCTTAGCGGTTTCTTCATGACACGACCATCGGTCTTCTGCAAGTTTCCCGCGTTTTTTAAAGTAATTTCTAAAACTTTAAAGTTTATTTTTTTCATTCTTTGTATAACGTATTTTTTTCTTTTTTTTTAATTTTACTATACTCTGTAAACTATTATATTATATATTACGAATATGTAAAGATTAAAGAACAAAAAATTATAAAAAAAAAATCTCTGCTGCAGTATTTTAAAGCAAAAGTACTTAAATTTTATGTTGACCCACATTACCCCGGAAAATGAGGTAATGTGGTTATATAAAGGCATCTTTAAAAAAAGATCCCCAGATGCATTGATAGTATTTTAAGTAAGAGTTTTTTTAAAAAATTTGTTTAGTAGGACTGCCCAATCATTATTTAAAATATATTTTGTCATAAAGCAGATACTTATAATTAAGTCAGAAATAGTTAAAAATAATCTCAGATTATTTTTACCTATTTAAAACTCACTTTACTTTATAGATCATAAATGTTAAACGAAACATTAACTGCATAATTATTATATTCCAAAAACTTTATAAAAATAATCCGAACTCTCAATAACATACTGAGGGCCATATTTGCGGAAATCGTTTCTCCCAAATAATAGTAAAACTACAATTTCAAGTTAAACTTTTAAAAGTAAAAAAAAAAAAATAGTTACTTGATTATGACGTATCTCTAATTCTCATCTTATTTTCGAAATATTCGCTTTTATTTTTCAACTTTTCCTTTTGTTAAAAAGCGATATTACCCTTAACATTATTTCTTATCTTTAAACTTATTTTTTTATTTTTATTTTGAGTTGTATTGTATTCAAATTTAAAAAAAAAATTTAAAAATTTAACACTTTTTATTCAAAAGTATTTAATATTTTTTTACTGAGATTGTATTATTTTTGATAGGTTAACATATTATTTGTTTAATATGTAAACGATACTACGGGGCTACATGATAAGAGTTTTGTCATTTGGCTGAAAAAAGATTTCGCTGGAAGTAAGCATCATTTTTTAATGCTCTTTGGTATTTCAGCTACTTATATGTTAACTTAGGTGTTCTAGCAGTTTTATTCATTTTACTGGTATGTTCCTAAAGTTATAGGCATTGCTTTAATAATTTCTAGTTTTACCAAGTAGGTCTCGTTGGGCGATGACTTAAAAGTTTTTACGAAAGTTAAAACTTATAATAAGGCAAAATTAGTTATTCTGCTACCAGTCCACTTCCAAGGTGATATCCTTTTTTAACTTTATCTGATTTGCTATAAATTTAATACAGAGATAATCCGAAAACAATAATAAAATTACAAATAAAATGTTTCAGTTTCATAAAAAGGAACTGGTTCTACTTTTGTTTCTTTGTCCAACAATCATCTTTTAAGTCCTCTCAGCATCTGACTCCTTACTTTGCTTTTATTGGTAGATATATACTTTACTTTTGATATATGCATCATATCGTGTAACTTATGAGCTTCATTCATAAACCGTCCGTTATTTACGCCTAAACCTTTTAGAACATTAATTACTCCTTGAAAAATTGAAATAATAGTAGAATTCTATAATAATTCTAAAAACTTTTTACTAATAAATATATCCTTAAAATATCTTTTTTAATAAATCATTTTAGGCTTTCATTACTGTTCTATGTTTTATTGAAAATACACTAATTAAGTACATCATGATAATATAGATTTCTGAATGTTCGTTTTACAATTTTGTAATTGGCTAATTAAAGTCTAATTTTTTTTTGTATTTAAATAAGTTTGTTAGTTCATCAGATTGCAACAGGCAGTATTTGATGTTCAAAAGCCTAGGGTCATATTCATAAATGCTGCAAAAGTGAATAGAGATTTTAACATTTTCCAAGAACTCTAAAAAACATGATATCATTAAACTTTACAGCAGCAACAGTTTTTCTAGAAGAGGTTAAAATTAGTTTAAACTTTGAAAGAAATGTATCGTACCTTGCAAATAACTTAGACGTCTGACATGATAACTGTAACTCATATGAAACCCATTTTTGTTTTGTAAACTTTACAATATAAAACTAAGCATTATCTTACAATTTTTTTTTTTACTTTTTGACCAAAAACAAAAAAATGAAGTGCAAGTATAAATATAAGTATAAAAGAATTGCAATTATAAGAAAATATTATCTATACTTTATTTGGTAACATGTTGGTTTCCTCTAAATACACTTTTTTTAATATACTTGGTAGATCTAGGAATATTTTTCAATTTTTTTTTACTTTTTTATCAATAAATTATGAGTAAATTAACAAATAGTTTGAAAGGTTTACATTGCTGTTGTTACAATACAAGCTATACAGCACAAGCTATTCATATGCATCTTTTGCGGCAAGGAGTTAATAATATAGCAAAAAGTTACCAAAAGCCATATAAGACTTAAGAGTCTTTTTTTTATACTATGATTAAATGTATATTGATTTTTGAGGTACTAATTACTATTCTATCAAAAAAAAAAAAAGGTTGTTATGGGTATTTTTAGGTAAATAATATCTACCCTAATCGTTTCTAAGATTAATTAAACCAACTTATGTACAAATTTGACAAAAATTAGTACTCTAATTTTGTTTTACAATAATTGAAATAAAAGAAAATCACTTTTTTAATAAAATCTCAAAAAAAAAAAAAAAAATTCGTTTTGAAATGGGGTTGACCACCTTAAAGAAATTTAAAAAACGGAATAAATTCTCACGCAAAAGTTTCAACAAGATCAATTAATTTATACGTTCCATTCATATAAAATTTGATTTCTTTTTTATTACAAAGTTTTATATTAATAAATTATTTATTCATTCGTTTAAAATATGAGA